CAGCAGCTTGACCATGTTGAAGCGCTTCCTCGAAATTAAAGATGACATGAGGCGATTTTATTCATTGCAAGGCAGGCCTTTCCCGGTCGAAGGATCCGATGAAGATCATGCAAAAGATATGGTGGAGGCTTTGAACTTGGTCCAGGGCGCGGTGGCGATGCTTTCAGAGGAGGATGCCTCCATGCTGGACTCAAAATACATACTTCAGGTAACGAACGGCTATCATTGTATGCGCGCGGTCATTCGGGAAGTTTCGCCAATTTCATTTTCGAAATTGCCGCTTCGCGCTCTCCAACGGTTTGGGATCTCGATATTTACGCTTCAATGACAGATCGCAGAGCCAATCAAGTTTCACGGCAATTGACGAAGAAGTCGGAATGAGAGACTACATGAAAAAATACAGCATCGATTCGATTATTTGATAACTAAGGATGAAGACTAGTCGGCAGCCTCGCTATCTTTCGTCAAGTGAATCAATTTTGCTGCAATCTGAGGGTGCGTTCTTCACTATCTGATTTTTCCAGACCCTCGTGGAAGCGCTGAGCACGAGTGATTCTCATGTCAGCAAACTGCTCTGTCGTGCTACATGTATCCGAATCCTCGAGCGCCGGGGATTCATTTCGCAAGCTCGGAGATACTTCGAGGAACGCTCATGCACGTCCGGTTTTGACAATCTACTGGCACGTTTCGGTGAGTCACCGGCACAGCTTCTAGAAGAGTCATCGATAATCGACACTGTGACCCGATTCTTGAAGTCTGCCGCGCTCCTACATCCCTCGACTCCGGCGCCGTCCGAGAACCGCCTCACCTCGAGAGAAAGGTTCGGTTCGATGGTGCAAGCGACCAGAGAAGATCGCGGACTCTCTCAGAGATTCCGACACCGGTGATGTCAAATGCCTCGGCCTCGACCGATCATGGAGATCACAGCTTGGACCAACGAGCCTATCAACTCATGCATGAGCATGAGCGAGGTGCTTCGATCCTGGATTCGCGATAAACTCCACCTTAGAAGGTGTAATGTCGATGCTGGATGCGATTCGGCCCACAAGTGTTCCAGCAGAGAGGGCATTTTCTCGTGCGAGACGGATAAGGCATTATAGTCGCGAAAGACTCGATGATGAGGTGTTCCGAAAAATAATGCTGGTCAAAAACCTTCGAGACGCGGATCAGCCGAGCGACTACCCAGAACCCAGAACTCTTCGCTGACGGTAGCTCAGGGGAGGAAGCATGATATAAGAACGTCAAAGATCTATTGTTCATCAGTACGATAACTACCCTCACATTGCATTCTCACAATATGTTCCGAGATCTCTCCACTTTCGTCCTTTGCCTTGAATTCTCGAAGCTCATATTTCTCGGAGTAATCGAATCCCATGCTTGAATAAATTAATAAAGGCAAGGCGACCGGCTGCAGGCGATCCCGTGAATACCTCTTGCAACGCTTGTCCTTAGTTGTCCAAAGAGGCAATGCTGCGGCCCTCATGGGTACCATGGCTACCTACCAAGGGCCACACCTAGAGCTACAACATTAGGGTAGCGAAGGGCAGTTACAGTAGAATGAACTAGAGCTCGAATTTCAATAAAAATCAACATGAGAGAGAGAGGGGACCTCCCATAAAGGCAAGGTTTGACGATGGACTCCTCAATGATGCAACCTCAATCGATGAAGAAATTAGAATCCCCCCTCCCGAGCCGTGGAGATGTACCGTGGAGTCCCGTGTGTGAGGGGCCTTGAGAAGTATCTCATAGAATAGACTCATAGTTGAAGAGGAGCTATGGGTCTCATACGTACCAATGTGGGGGTCTCTCACCTGATGAATACCTCATACGTACATTGAGGGAAAACATTTTTCTGAGTTTTTCATGGCTTTCCCGCTGTGTCTGAAACAGTCTCCATGCTTTCCGGATTTTTCCCGCTCTTTTCGTATTTCTCCCGCTCTTGTCGTATTTTCCCGTATTCTCCCTACCTTTACCGCATTTTCTGAATTTTCCCCGCGTTCCCGTATCCGTCCGCATTCCTCTTACTCCGTATCCCCCGGGGCATGTCTAGTCTACGGTAACAGTCTTCTCATCCGAGAAAAAACGGATGTAACGAGCAGTGTCGTGTTTCATTGAATGAAGGAGCTTTTCACATCTCTCGACTCGGGCCGCTTTGTTGGCCATCGAGAGCATTTGCCGACTTCTCGGAACGTAAGGCTTGCACATCAGATCGATGTGCATCACCCGGCGCATCGTGCGATCACTGACTTTGAATTCCGCCGCGAGTCGTCGGCAAGAAACGTGATGGTCTTGCGAAACACGGTTGCTTATCGAACTTACCAGCTTTGGAGTTCTCTTTGGTCGCGATCGAGCATGGGTCTTGCGTTCCACCTTGTAAGGACTTTGCTCCGTCGTCTCCGCCCTCGAAAATGCCCCAGCGACTCGATACACCGTGGACTTCGGCAGTTTCAGAGATTGAACAATCTCCATTGGCTTCATTCCGGCGCGCAAGGCGATGACAATGGTTTGCCTTCGGGCAAGCTCAGAAGGCGACGAGGCTGTAGGTGCCATGATCGACTTATGATTCGACTGCTTATTGATGCAACGTCTCATTCCGTTGGAATTTTTTTCGAAATTATGCATTTCCCCGCCAACGGTCGGTTTTAAAAAAATAGTCCCAATTTAGCTGCCGCACCCTGTAGTATCGAGAGTTTTCCGACAGAAACAGATGAGATTTCTTGCCGCCATCAAAGACTGTCGGGTCTTCGGGGAGGTTCGCTGCTGGATGTACACCATAGAATATCAAAAAGCGAGGATTACCTCATTCCCATAATTTGACTTGGCTCAAAGAGGGCATACCTCCATCCCAAATCGATCGTGTGATCTCAGCAGAGATTCCTGACAAAGACGTGGATCCAGAGTTATACCAAGTCGTGGTGAACAATATGATTCATGGTCCATGCGGAGCTGGGAATCCTTTTCTCCCTGCATGAATCAGGAGAAAAAGATCTGCACGAAGAATTATCCGCGTTCTCTAATCAGAAACACCCAAACTG